GCAGTACTCGGCATAAATGAGTTGACTCTTGACGGGCACAGTTGGCGGTTCCACACTCAGATAGGAGTCGGTGCCGTAGTCACTTAGCGAACGCAGTATGATGCCTCGCATCATCTTGGCATGTTCCTGTTCCCGTTGAGCAACTGCTGTTTGGGTTGGCTGAGCGCCACCGCTAGACAGTTTTCCCATTTGCACGTACTTTTTGTAGATAGCCATGCTCTGCTTGGGCGGCGGACTGATGGTGCAGCCATACACCTGTTGCATGGAAGGCAGCATTGAGGCTAGTGTGAATGGGGCCGGCTCAGCTGTTTCCGTTTGCTTGGACTCCTTTTCGGCAAAGCTGGCACTGAGATCCTCGTCACTAGAGCTGTCCTCGCCCTCATTCGAGCTGGAGGAGTTACTATTCATGGAACCAGTCGAACTTTGGCCAGTCATCGATGGATTCTGTCGGGCCTTACGCGACGGCTGTATCTGACGCTGAAACGGACTATAGTTGGTGCGGTATGTAGGCATGTATCGCGCGGCAAGTTGGCTGATCTCGAATTCGATGTGCTCGCTCAGATCTGTCCACTTGAAGGACTGATGGTAATTGGAGTAGGCATCAATCATTTCTAATCCATTGCTGTGCACTCGAAACAGCTCCTTGACCAGCTTGTTTTTGTCTGCGCAGGGGAAGGGCAAGCACTCGCGCACCTTGTGCCGCACCCAATCCGTAATTGACGCACTCGATGTACTCGGCACAAAGGCATTGTGCATATCGTAATCCGTTTGAAGCTCCCATATAGGTTGATTTACTGCAAGTAAAGAATATATAAGTGAAAATATAGAACGTGAACAGGATTTATCTTACATTTTGGCTTGTAGAGACCCAGAAACAAGTTAATGCTCTGCTGCTTCTCTGTGTCGCTGAATGTATTGCTGTAATAACGACTCAGAGTCTGCATTACATCGTTGCCCTGCGACGCCCAAGCGGCCGTCTTGCGATAAGTCTTGATGCGATGCACTAGCTGCGAGCCACCATATTGCAAAGCCAAGGTATCACCGTGCTCCTCATACAGATGCTCCAGCATGGTTACGCAATCCGAGTCAAACTCCAGTTTGGCTGACTTCACAAACCCCAAACGCTCCAATTGATTGCCCAGAGCGCACTTTCCAATGGCAAACTGGGCCGAGTTGGTGCGATCCAGGCAATCAACACAATTGGTCCGAACGATGCCCGTCTGGAAGCTGATCTCGCTGCCTCGATGCGCCTTATAGAACATGCCCGTCATCTGGATAATATTTGCCGCATGCACCGCCAACTGTTCCATGACGTTGCCGCCGCTGAGACGGCTCTGCCGTGCCATATCAAAATGTATGTGTTTCATGCGATGCTGAGGCGGCAGGAATTGATTGAGATATTTAATGCTGTTCTGCAGCTCCTTGGAAATTATGGACTCGTGCTTGCGCCGCTCACGCTTTTTAACTAAATTCAGCATGATAAGCGGAGAGCCGTAGTGGAAGAGAAGGCGCTCGAAGTGACGAGACGGCGTTTGGGCATAGGGATCACAGATGTCCAGCTGTATCGGCGGCTTTGGCACCATTTTGCTGATGTCCTGCGACCAATGGGATGGTATTGATCCGCGCATTTGAGTGAAAGCGCACAGGCGTTGCCCGTCACTGACAATCTGTTCCGTTTCGACTTCATTAGCAACATCGCCCTGCCAGTATATATAATGTTAACTCCCTACATATCATTTACTTTGTTTACATACCTTAAAGTTGGCACCGCGCTTTAGAAAGCGCGTTCCAGCAAAGCGGGTACTGCGTCGTGCTATGAGACAAACATTCACATGCCTGCCAAAGATGCTAATGCAGGATTGGCTAACGTAGCCGTGTGTGACCTCCAAGAGCCAATCTTTATGCATAATACCCTCCATCGGCTGCAGCAGGTAGGCATTCCACACGAAACGCTTCCGTGAAACGCTGCGAAAGGCATAGTCAACCCGCTCGTGTGCCTGAGCCACATTGTTTGTCAGCGTATTCCAATCAGGCAGAGGTTCGTCCTGTGCCAGATTCAGCTTTGTACCAACATAACGTGGAGCCGATTCGTTATATTGCAACGTTCGGGTCAAGTCGTACGAGTAGGAGAAGTAAAAGTTGCTGCGTAGATCAATATTCTGAAATATGCGTTTGTAACGTTCTTCATGAGGATGTGGAGGCCGCTGTGAGGTCACCTCGTTTACGCGGACCATCACCGTGTCCTTGATGGTGTACACCAAATGCATCCCAATGTGGGCACAACATTTTCGCTTGGTCACTAATATCAAGTAGTAGCCCTCGAGAAATCGAACAAAGCCTAATACTCCATAGGCAGAGGTTACTTTCGGCGAGCCTGTTAAAGAGGACACAAATCTCCGTATCTCCAAGTTGTTGAACTCGTTTGCATTCTCCTCGATGCTCAAGCGGTTAAGCGCCAACCGATCGATGGTGAGCAAGCGAAATCGGGTTTCGCGGTTGTTGCTGCCCACCAAATACAAGCGCTGAAAATAAAGATGAACTCAACTTACTTGATACAATCTATTGCTAGCAAAAAACTTACCGAGCGGGTTTCATAGAGTACCACTTTTTGTATGGAACTTATAAGTGGATTAAATATAATATTTGGATTGTCATTATTCATTTCTGCACAAAATCGTCGATGCTAATAACAAAGTAAAAAGTTATCGATCTATCGATGTATCGAAGTTGGCGGTATAAAAATTGCCGTTGAACACATTAACACTAAACAACTATAGTAATATGTTGATTATTAAAAATCAGATTTTTTGAAGCACCATTTGCTTAATATTTATAGAATTGCAGACCAATCAAAATGTTAATATTTAAAATTCAACTGTTCTTGTTTGCAGACAGGGCTGTTACGCTATGTCAGCTGACTGATATTATCGCTTTTTTTTAATAGGGCAGCACTTGGCTTTTTTGTATACTTTTGTATTGTTTAGAGTAGCATTAAGAATTTAGACATAAGCAAACAAAGAATATGACAGATTGGGGAAATATTTGCCGCATTTGCAGCAGCCCCGCAGACTATAATATATTTGCCAAGATACCAACATATTTGCACGGCTCAACAAATGAGTTTCTCAATTTTCAGAAGCCAATTAATGTACTGCTCGAAGAAACGTCTGGACTAAAAGTAATAAGAGGAGAAAAAAAAAAAAAAACAATTGGAAATTCATTTAACTTTTACTTTATACTCTCTATAGATATCGCCAGATGACGGTCTGCCCTCTGTTATTTGCGCACTGTGCATATCGTATTTGAAGCACGCCGTAACATTCCGTGAACAATGTATTAAAAATGCACTCAGCCTCAAGCTAATCGAACTATATCAACAGAAGTCTTCAAAAAATAAAGCCGATAAGGAGAGTGCACTGATCACGGCAGAACAGTTGCGTTATGTGGAGCAACGACCAGTACATAATCTTCTGCTGAACAACAACAGAGTGAAGCTCGAAAGAACGGACAAAGTGCACAAGCAACTGCTTAATCAGACTGTGCCCCAACAGAGCGGCAACAGCGAACGCGAAATACGGTACTTAAACGATCTATTTAATAAGCAACGAAATGCCGCTCAGGTCAAAGTGGAGTTGCCATCGACAAGCGGTCAGACCTGCAGCGGAAATGGCACTGGCGAGGAGGAGGACTACGCGGCGGTGACCTCCAGCGATGAGGAGAATGCGCTGTCGCGCAAGCACAAGAATATCTACAACTATAGTGAGACAAATTTCGAAGAGGATGATCCCATGGAACAGGCGCAGCTAAGAGACATCAAAGTGAATATACCCGAGCCCATGTGGAAGGAGCGCAAGTGTCCGGCCTGTTTTAAGCGATACATGCACGAGGATTCGCATAAATTGCATTTGGACAATTGTGTGGAATTCCAATTTTTTAACTTTATCGCTGAACTGAATAGGCTGCAGGAGATAAAGCGTCAGAAAATGGTATCGCCCCATGAGTTCATTCGGCGTATGATATTCGCTTTGCACAAGACATGCACCTGGTTGCAGGAACATTCCATTGACAGCGAACTGGCTGAGAAACTGAATCAGGTTAAGATCACCAATGGCAGCAGCAGCAGCAGTGCGGACAAAGCTGACAAAATTGAGCCAATCAAGGAGAGCGTACCCAAGGCATCGACATGCTGGGATAGTTATCCATCTTCCAATGACGATGCCATCTTCAGCAGCAGTTTACTTAAGTTTAAGAGCGGCTGTAACACACCCATAACAGCGGAGAATAATGTCCTATATGCCATAGAGCGCTCCGAGAGTCGCAACTCACAAAACACGCCCAATCCGGTAGTAAAGAAACCCATACCCATTCGGTGCGCAGGGCCTCCAGCAGCAGCAGTGACTGCTTCACCGTTACACGAGGAGCGTGCTCGTGCCACATTTCTGGAAAAGTTGCAACGAGCCACCGGTACGCCACAACACCTGCAGTCGCCGGTGACAATCACGCCCACCTCAGCAGCACGTTGCTGCCAATGCAATTTGATATTCACTGCGGTGAGCGAACTCGAAATTCACAATGTTATGCATCACAATGGGCAGTGCAATGCAGGCAACGCTCTGGACGAAGAAGCCCAAAGGCGTCGTATTATTGCCCTATTCGAAGACGATATCTAATTTAGAATTTGAAGCTTAGGTTTATATTGATTTAATTTCGTAACATCATTAAGTCTGAAAAGTCCCCTTTACAAGTTCACTGTTTAATTTTTAGATTTCTAATTTTTGTTTAATTTATGTGACGAATCTCTGACGTATATGCATCTACATATGTATACCAACATTCATTCGCTTTAGTTATATATGTATATGTAATTCGACTCTAATACTTAAGTATTTATGAAACACTTATAATCATATAACTTTAAATACACTTAGAATAAGAAATACATTTTGGTGTTATCTCAGCCAATTAACAATACAATTTTAATTAATTTAAAGTGCAATGCATTCATTAAACAACCGAAACATTTTTCGTTCTGTATATTTAAGTTCAAAGCTTCATTATATTTAAAATTCATTAAACTCGTATATAATATATAATACATACATTAACATTAATTCATGCGAACTTAGGTTCAAAATTTAATCATATTTAAAAGCTAATTAGTTAGGCATAAACTCGAATGTGTTCCATTAAAAGTTCATTGTCTAATAATTGAGCTTCGATTAGATTTTTTAGAAGCTGCATCAAATCCAGGGTAAGATTTGGCTCCTGCAAGGCAAACAATTTATTCAATGCGTTAACCAGTTGGTCCGACTGCAATTCTAATTGACTATTGTCTGGACGTGTGGCAAAGATGTTGGCGATCACTCGAACGCCGTAAACGATTCGCAGCTTGCCGGCAGCTGTGTTCGGATCAAAATTTACATTTTCCATGAAAAAATTGAGCAAATGTTGAAAATGAGCTGCGCACAAATCGCGCTCTCGGTTAACTAGCTCCAACTGGAATACAATATACATATAATAATCGGCCCCAGTTTCGCCTGGCTGTTTTTTGTGTAGGTTCTCGGCAATGTAACGCCGATCCTCTTCTCTAATAGAAGCAGCTGCTCGAGTGGCTATCAAATGCAAGCAAATGCCAGCATCTTCCTGATAGCCATGGATATCGCTTGCAGGCAGTGTATACAATTTCCACAATTTGCTGGCCAATTGCATTTGCAGCAACATGCTGGCCGACTTGCTGCACGTGGCCAAAATGTTGGCCAGCGTCCAAAGGCAACTGCGCTTCAGTCGCGGCTCCTGATTGTCCAAGAACGTCACTAGGTAGCTGCCAGCCATTGTTGTTATTTTCTCGCAGACATGTGCGTCGCCTAACGAATAGTTGCACAGGCATTCGGCTGCTTCAATTTGCCGTTGCATCTGCGTACCTATTTAGCGGATGACATTGAGTGATAGATGTAAATCTGAGTTGTCATCTATAGCTACCTGTAAATTCCTTAATTATAACTTGAGTTGCTCCCTGAACTTCAGCAAAGGCGTTAATATTTTCGTTACCCTGCAAAAATGCATGGCTTAGCCGGTACATATCCTCGCCTGTGGCATGCTTACGACGCTTTATGCGACTCGCCATTCCTTGAACATCCTTAATTCCAAGATTCTCCAATTCGCTAATTTTATCCTTGATCTGCCCCAAGCCAAAGCGAAGTGCATCTGTAGTATTTGTTCGCAATTCTTTTCGCTGTTGGCGAGCATACTCCCGTATTCTGAGCCGAAGAGCAGTGTCATTTATCTGAACACTTGTTGCTGGTGTTGTTGAGGATTGTGCCGCCATTTCCATTGTTTTGTAATAATTTAAGCCGACAAAAACAAATTTATTTACACCACCGGCTTTTGATAATTATATGTGTGTGCCTTAGTAGAGCAACACTGTCCACTGTTTTGATGATGTGCGGTATTTACATTCTGTTGTTTTCGATAACATGGTATTTGTTTAACTGTGTCTTCCGGTCACACTGTTATTCAGTTGCATAAACAGTCGACCAAAAAGAAAAACAAATAGAATGTCGTTTAGTATAATGCAAAAGCTTTCATTGCAATGCCTAAAGGCTGATCAACCGCTCATAAGTAAGTCAATAATATGTTATATGTTAAGAGAATTAACCGACATTCGTTACTATACTAACAGCAACAATACGAAACGCCAGCAAAAAGACCGGCGGTAGCACGCGGAACAAGAAGGGCCATCCGCGTCCGAAACATCGTGGTTGGCGAGTGCAAGACGGCCACTATGTGTCCCATGGAACCATTTTGGCTACCCAACTAACGACCCGCTTTCATCCCGGATTGAATGTAAGTAAACTTGTCCATTACAGATTTCATTGAAAATGATAATATTTTAACCTTTATTGTAGGTGGGCCTTGGACGTAATGGCACATTATTTGCCATAGAACATGGCAAAGTTGTAGTCAGCTGTGAGCCCATTGATCCAAACTGGGATCACACCTGGATTCAGCGCAACTATGCTGGTCGCCAAGACCAAACTATTCATAAGAAATTTTTCAATGTAATTCCTGAGAAGCAGCATCAGCGTTTCCGTCTTGTGGATGAAATCTAAATTGATATTAAAATGTATTTAAAAATCAGTCATGAACTCTGACTACTCCCAGTACGAGACCTGAGTAAATATGAAGCTGAGCGGGCCTTATGCACCACCAGTGTAGCTAAATGCTAAGCTCCGAAATAATCTGAATTGTGGTAGTAGGATGAAGCAGTCCTCTAAGTGCATTGCACTGTCCCACTGACTCCCATCAGGCCTGGGTGACTGAAGAAAAGCTGCAGCTGATGCCCTTTATATAGGGCGACTTTCACTCAAACACTAAGTCGCTCTCAAATGTTGTGCCTGGCGTAAAGGTATTGGTCGTTGCAGTCGAGCTTTAAGTGACCAATGGGAACAGCCTCTGCTGCTGCCAGCACTCCAGCTCATTTTACCACTGAATTTACTCAATTACAAATACCATAAGACACAGAAATAGAGCGACAGAGATATAGGCTAGATCTAGCCGAAAATAGGCTCAGTTGGCTGCAGCACAACTTGCAGAAGTTTGATCTATATTTCTCATCTATGTATGTATGTGTTAGTGAGGGCCTCAAAGTTGAGTCAAAGAAGTTGGGGAACATAAAGCATGCTTTGGGACTAGACATTTTTGAATTTATGAGCCGCTATTTTAATTTTAAACTAAACTATCGGTAAACCAGTGCTGAAAATTGTAACAGCTATCGCTATCGATTAAGTAAATTCTGTTTGCTCTTTGCTATCGATAGTGCCATCGGTTCAACAGCTCTATTGCCGCTTGCCGCACACGTGTTTGCACCGCAGCACATTTCTCATTTCATTTTCTTGAAAATAATCTAATACGAAATATAAAGTAAAATGGCAGAAGAGACTGTAAATGCAGAGGTAAATGCCGAAGTCAAGGAAGTAGAGAAGAAAGTTGAGGAAGTTGTCGAGTCCGAGACCGGCAAAAATGGTGATGTGAAGAAAGATGACACAGAGGCTCCAGCGGGCGAAAACAGCAAGCAAGAGCGCGCAATCATTCGGCAAGTTGAATACTATTTCGGAGATGCGAATTTGCATCGTGATAAGTTCCTTAGCGAACAAATTACAAAGAACGAAGGCGGTTGGGTGCCACTCTCAGTGCTGGTCACATTCAAACGTTTGGCATCGCTCTCGACAGACTTCGAGGAAATTGTGAATGCATTGAACAAATCCGATGAGGGCCTCGTGGAAGTCAGCGAGGACAAGCAGAGTGTGCGTCGTCACCCCGAACGCCCAGTTCCCGAACATAACGAGGAGCGTCGCAAGGAGATTCAGGAGCGTACAGTATACGCTAAAGGCTTCCCATTAGAGTCACAAATGTCAGAGATTCTCGATTTTGTCAGCCCCTACGATAAGGTGGTCAATGTGACAATGCGTAAGCATTACGACAAACCCACCAAGTCGTACAAATTCAAGGGCAGCATCTTCGTCACATTCGAGAAGAAGGAACAAGCCAAAGAATTCCTTGAAAAGGAGAAACTCGCTTACAAAGAACGCGAGCTGCTCCGTAAGTGGCAGATTGATTATCTAAAGGAGAAGCAGGAGGAATATCAAAAGAAGAACGAAAAACGTAAGAACAAGAAGGAGGCTAAACCAGAGCCCGAAATTGAATTGCCTAAAAACGCGATCGTTGTCTTCGAGGGAGCTCCAGATACTGTCACACGTGAGGAAATACGCGAGGCTTTTGAAAAAGTCAAGGACTTTGATATTGCCTACATTGAGTTCAACAAGGGCGACACCAAGGGCTCCGTACGTCTCACAGAGGCGGATGCGGCCGACAAATACATTGCCAAAGTGGAGGATGCTAAAGTATAAACTCATAAAGACATGATAATTTTCATTGAAATACTTATTTATTTGTCCACTTACAGCTTAAATTCAACGATGAAGTCTCTCTAACCCTGCGAAAGGCGAACGAAGATGAGGAGAAAGAGTTTCTGGACAAGGCGATTGAGTTCATGAAGAAGCGCCGTGACTTCTCACGTGGCAAGAACAACAAGCGCTTCGGACGCAAGCGTCACGGCGGTCACGATAACAAAAATAACAACAAAAAGCAACGCTCAGAGTAGCGACTCCCTCACCTGAATGAAAATTAAAAACCAACAAGAAAAAATGTTAGCTCTAGTTGTTAGCTTTAAGCGACCGCGTTTTGTGACATCCAATTGCAACTATTACTAGTTTTCCAATAACGTAAGTCTAAGATCAAAGTATCTGAGAAATATGTATAGTTTACATAATATGAGACGAACTCTAATTTATTTTAAATTACTGATTCTTTATTTCTTTTATGAATAATTTGTTTACTCTTGCTGAAAGAACAGTTAAAATAAATATATCAGTTTGTAATCTATCATATAAATGGTCTTTGTTTGTTGTTGAAACGGGAAGCTTTCGGATTACGCATTTCAGATTCTGTGGGGCTTTATTCTATAGTGAGTCATTAATCAGAAGTAGCATTCCGCTCGAATTTAATTTTCGAGCAATGTGACTTCAAAAATAAAAGGAAATATATCTTTTTTAGTAGTTTTATTTATTTTTTTATTGCTGTTTTGTATATTTTCGTTTTTTGTTTAGTGTTTGTATTGTGTGTGTGTGTGTTTGTTTGTTAAATGAGAGAAATATTAATATACATACAAATGATTTAACTTAAAAACAATAAAAACTAATATATATATATATTAATTTCATAAATTACAATTATTAAATGCTTTTATAAATTACAATACGCAAAAAAAAAGAAACCTAAAATTTTCAAAATTTGTTTTTTCCTTTTATATCGTTTAGTTAAACTATGTTTTAATTGCAATTAAGTGTAAAATTATATTTAAATTTAAACTAGTCGCAATTTATTTATAGGTATTTATAATATATGATATATGAGAATAGTGATTCAGCTTGAAGGGAGTTAGATCTTGGGAGGGTTGCTACGTGAATAAACAAAACGGATTTTAATCTTTTCAAACAAGAAAATAATTGAAAAAAAAAAAAAAAAACAAATAAACAAAAAAAAAGAACTGTGCAAGCACATAGTTTATAACAGTATTTCCTCAACTTTGCCTAGTCGCAACTTAAGGATTCAATCTTTAAGGCCTATGCGTATCGAAGGCATAAGCTGTGGAGCGCTTTGGATTTGATAACCTATTTAGAAACGTTCACATATATCTGCTAATTGGGTATAGTAAATCGTTCTATATATATGATTTTTTTTCCGTTCGGGTCTGTGCATTAATACGAGACTTAATCAACATTTATACATAAATTAAACAATTACAAACAACGTCATCGTATTATATATCGCACGGGGTTTTCATTATCTATATGAATTAATATATATATTTATAGATGCATTTATATGTTTAAGTTATATTAGTAGAGTATCTACGAATGTATTTATATGGTGGGGTGCGCGCTCAAGCATGTCCCTAGTCAGAAGAGAAAGAAGTTCTCAGCGTTGCGTTTCTGCCATTTCTCATTTTTACTAGGGGTTGTACACTTAACACTAGACTAACACGATCTAACGATTTACAACGATAACCAAGCGCTTGATTCAACTCCAACTCTCTCTCTTTCTCTCCTCCTCTCCTCTCTCTTTCACCCTATCTGTCAATCTTAAGTATACAACAGTCCATCCAAAATATGCATATGTGAATTATTATATATATATTTATATATAATGTGTATAATGTAGTTAATAGTGCTGCAGATCGCCTTCATGTAGTTCTATTTCCAGACAGGCGTCAGATCCAGCGTGAGATTCTGTATCGTCCGATTGCGTGCCGAGCTACGCTTTTGCTTCACTGAACTGGTGATCTCATTGACCAGACCCTGGCAATCATTGCAAACGGTCACCTGCTCACCGCGCAGGTTTTCCTTCTGATCTTGTTGCGTCTGTGCCAAGTGGCTGCCCGACGAGAACAGCGCAAAGCCGCGCGAGAATCGCGATCTATAAGAGAATGAGAGAGGGGTAGGGTTAAGTAACTTTGATCTGCTGTTTGTCTTGCTTTGGAGGGCAGTACTTACTTGCGCTCCAGCGTGCTGCTGTTAGATAGGGGCCGATGCGCCGGACTGTGCACGGGCAGGCTACGTGGTCCCTCCATGCTGCGGGACATGGCGTTGTTGTAGTGCTGCTGCTTCTGCTGGTACTGATGCACGCCAGAGGGGCGCATGGCGCCCGAATAGGAAGCCGACATGGATGCCTGATCGTGCAATGCCTCCACGGCCTGACCAGTGGCAGCGGCTGCCGCGGCTGCTGAGCCAGGGCCGACACTAATGCCCGGCGTGCTCATGTTTGATCTTTGGTGCTTGGGCGATGAAGGTGCACTACCCACTGTGCTGCGAGTCTGTGCGAAGATCAGAGATTAATCTTTAGCTCATTCTAATGCATACTTACACTCACCTTACGATCTGACTCGGAACGCAGCAGGCGCTCGATCAGAGATTTGGGAAACTGATCGTCCATGATGTTGCCCGTGGATGAGGAGTGCATGTGGTGGGCGTGGTGCGATGGCGATGGCGTATTCGAGCTGGCCGGACTGGACAGCAACGAGGGTGAGATCAGCACCAGCGGCACATTGCGAAAGTGCTCCGAGGGTATGCGCATCTTGGTGTAGCACTTGGCGCAGACGGTGCGCTGGCACAGCTTGCACTGAATGCCCCACGGGCCGAAGAAGGAGAAGCGTGTGCGCAGGCACAGAAAGCAGACACGACGCTTTTCAACATCCTCCTTGACGCGCACATCCATGGGCAGGCCCTCCAGCTCGGCTTTGGTCATGACGGAACGTATGTGAACGATCTCCGCTAGCGTAACGGACAGACGATCATCCCCACGTTCCATCCAGGTCTGTTTGTCCATAAAGGACTTGTTCCATGGGCCAAGCGAGGATGTTGAATGCGACGCCGTGTCATCAGCTCCAGACGTGGCGAGTGGCTGCTGATGCTGTTGTTGCTGCGGCTGCTGCTGCTGCTGTTGCTGCTGTTGGTCCAGTGACTGCAGCTCCTCGGGTGTCTTTTTCAACAGCTGCGCAAGAACAGAGTATTTAAATAAGT